TAGTAATAAAATGCTTTTATTGAAAAAGAGTAAGGTAACACAAAATACGGACCAACCTGGAATACCTTGAGCACATAATTTTTATAAGAATATTGGATAGAGCCCTGGCCAGTGCACCTCAGTTGGTCAAGCATCTTCCCATGCACTAAGAGGTCACTGGTTCAATTCCTGGTCAGGGCAGTTTGCAGGGTTGCGGGGGCATGCAGGAGACAGCCAATCATCGATGTTTCTCTCTCCCTCTTCCCTCCTTTCTCTTTAAAAAAATTAATTTTATTGGGTAATAAAATCCATTTTGTGTCAATGTACAACTATAATCATATTAATTTAGAGGGCCTATTATGTACCTACATTCTACATACTTGACTTCATATAATATTTATAACAAATCTATGAAATGTGTTGCTTTTTTAAAAAACTTCATTTAATCGATAAGAATACAGAGGCTCAAATAGAGTCATTTATCCAAAGGTATATAGCTATTTAGGCTAAATCCAGGTCTCAAATACAATTTTATCTCAAGTAGAAAAAAAATTCCTTTATTTTATCTATGTCAAACTGTGTGGTTTCTCCTCTAAGCCTAACTTTCCTTTGCCTACTTGAAGAACAGAATTATCGAGATGTGGAGACTCTCACTAAAGTGCTGCTCCCTCATCTCCTCTGCTTGTGACCATTGCTTTGTTCTGGAGAAACTTTGTTAGATGCCACTAACACTGAATGGCAAGAAGAGAGATGAAATGGAGTGAGGCAAGAAAAATGAGCTGACCTCACAGAAGACAGAGTTCTTAAGGAGAAAGAGACAGTTGCTTGGTGTTGAAGGGAACTCAAGCTGGCCTGGCGGGTCACAGCACCGCTGTTGCGCAAGCCTGCGGCAGGTACCTCTGCTTATTTGTTCATTCCACATCCAGGCAGGTCTTAGAACTCCTAGGATTTGGCCAGTGCTGCTGTGTTCCAAGGCACCTGAAAGAACGTGTGCTCCACTTCAAATTTATTATTGCTGGGACTGAGCTCTTGGCATGATTTAGAAATGATGGCTGAATGAAACAAACTGCTCATTTATAAAAACAGTATTTTTATGTAGAGAGAATAGTAACCTCATATGAACCTGGAAGACCCTGCCCTTTAACTTCTGGACTCTCAAATATTTGAACTACTGGGCAAAAGATGATCCATGCTCTATTCCTAAGAATTCAGGGAGTAGCTTTAAGCATCCAGAACAGAGGTTGGCAACTCCTGGTTCTTTGACCAAATTTAGTCACAGATGTATTTTGTGTGGCTCCGAGAGTTTTAGCTCTTACAGTACCTGGAATTTCAAGCTTTGGACAAATTCTGAAATCAAGCCACAATGGCCTTTTATTCCTTCAGGCAGTGACTTTGAGTAGACAGCGGTCCCCTCTTCTGTCGCAGCCTACGCTTTCCACTTTCCACTTGGCTGAATGCCTGGCCTTTCCCTGAGATATTGAAGCTCCATTTGTTTTTATCGTTGCACGTCTACTGAGAATTCCCTTCTAGGAGAGTGGGAGCCTCCTGGCTCCTGTACAGGTCTGAGCTAGAGACACCTATAAGTATCTCATAATCTCATAATTAGAAAGTGGACCTTCACATTGCTAGTAATTATAGCAGTTAACAGGAAAAATAATCTCTTGTAGCTTTATTATTTTTCCTAAAGAAATGTTTCAAATTATACTTAAAAATTACTCATTACTTCTATATTGTTATTTTTCCCCTTTTCAGTAAAAAAAATTTAAAAAAAGTCAATTCAGTGGACACAAGCACATTGGAATCCCAACCTGTCAACATCTTGTGTATTTTCATTCGTCTGGGCTCTGAGAATACTTTTAAATAGCTTAGTCCAAAACAAAGCCAGTAAAAAGGCCTAAAGAAAAGTAAAAATGTACTGATGAACAATCGATTGGATTGATTCGTCACTACCCATTTGATTCAAGAATACTTAAATAAACAAAACAAAACAGCAGAAGCAGGCCATTTATGCGGGTCACTCTGAGAGTGGAATTTTGGTTGGGTAATGGGCAGTGTTAAGTATGGCTGGCAGACCAATAGAACATTGTTTGATTTCTGAAATAGATTTTTCAGGCTTCTTCTTGGCTACTGAGTAATTCCTGTGCAGGTTAGACTTTACTGTGCCCCAGTGAGTTATCTCTTCATGAAGCAATGCAGTCACTCAGCATTTATCACCCCTCACCTCTCAATACATATAGTTTCAGTATATGTGTACTAATAGATCCATGGTGGGTGTGGGTTTCACTTTATGACATGTAATGACTCATGTAGTGGGTTTGATATTTACAAAGAAATATTGGGTCTGGTGATAGCTTTTATGGGGCTGTCTGAATATGAATGAGTCAATAAAAAACTATTTTGCAGTATAACACAACAATAAATATTGGTAAATGTTGGTATTAATGCTAATAAGTATTAGTATAATGATATTAGTGGACTTTATTTTGCATGAAAAAGAAAATCCATTCATAAGAAGGGCATAATTTCTTCCTCTCCTCCACCCTGAGAAATAGATAGACATTTGAGGAAATTGAGTGTCTAAGAATTTGAGACTTAGTGGCACATAACTAGGAAACAGGGAATCTGGGATACAGCTCAGGAATTCTGACCCATCTGAGGGTCCTTGCATGACATCTTGCTGCATACGAATAAGGGAACAATAAATTCTTTGGGCTGTTGAGAAGAAAAGAGATATGTGTACCCCAAGATATGACTTGAGTTGTTGTTTTCTATACTTGTTTTTAGGTATAGAATATAAAGACACACAAAGTGCCATTATTGCTTTTACTTCATCAGTATTGGGGGATCTGCAAATTCGTTTGGACAGAACTTTCAGTTGAGTGGAGCTTTTCTCTGTTTTTATTAGGAGTGAGTCTGAGAGCTTCTCTGATAACATGGAGAACCGCTGCTCACTTCTGGGAAATAACCACAGCCCACACTCACGCCTGATAAGAAATCACCAGAGTAGTAACTTACTTTGAGCAAAAGTGTCATAAGGTAGCGACAAGGCTGGGAGCAGGAAGTGTGTGAGATGCATGCGTTTGAAACAAATTGACCCCAGCTTTAAAATCCAAGGACAGATATATGTTGGTATCAATAAGTGAAGAGAGAGAGAGAGAGAGAGAGAGAGAGAGAGAGAGAGCTGTATGCTGTGAGCAGAAAAGAAAGAGAGTGATAAATTAAACACATTCATAAGGCAAGTGGAGGAAATGATCAAAATAACCACCAAAGAACAGTAAAGTCTAAATCTAACTTTTTTTCCCCTTCCGGCGATATGTTGACATTGTTGAAAAACCTCACATCAGTACTTTATAAAACTGTAGGTCTCTTGGGTCGGGCAATAAAGAATCCTGGTAAAGGGCCTTCCAAAGAGCAGTGCTGTTGTGTGGGCGAGGAATGCAGGATGTCAGGAAAGGAAAGGAAGCTAAGGGTCCATGATGTAAGCAAGTGATGAGAGCCTGGTAATGTAAACGTGAGCATGTAATATCTCCACGCTACTCGTTCTTCATGTGCAAAACTGAACTAATTCAAAGCACCATTTTGAGGAATAAGGAGATCAATACCAAAATGCCTCAAAAATAGTGAGGGTTAAATGAACTGGAGCTATTATTCTTTCCACACATGCTTCCCTAACCGAGAGCATGGTTTAAATAAGGGAAATGATGACAGAATACCGTACAGGAGTAAAAAGATCTCCAAGTCTGGCAGGAAGGAGTGAATTGAAATCTGCCCAGCATGGCTTAGCTGGGGTACCTAGAGCAAAACCTGGCCTATTTTCTTCCAAAGCGCCTGCTACTCCCATTCTGCTTCTACAAAATGAGATGATCTGTAAGCCATTGAAAGGTGATGATAACCTTTGCTTTCAAGTTTCAGAGTTAAGCCTTAGTTCCTCTGTTCCAGTAGTTTAAATACACCCATCCCTCCTTCTCTTCCTGTGCTGGTCAGAGGCATGGGGTAGGCATGCTACAGAGCCCAGTGCAGGCCCCCTCTTGCGCCCCCCTCCCCCGCCAATGAACCCAGGACCAGGACTGCTTTTCCATTTCCCCATCACTGCTACAGCCTGCATCACGCCATCACCTGAGCTTAACTGAGCCCCTTCTCGTGAGGAAAGGCATCATACTTCAAGATGCAACAGTGTGTAGTAAAATTACTGTTTCAAAGCCAAGGCAGGAAACACAGTGAGAGAAGATGTGGGGCTTGCTGCAAAGGAATCTTTTTAGTTTTCTTGATCAAATTATAAGAATGATATGTGGGAGGAGAGAATATTCCAGTAAATATGGTATAGCGATGAGCGTCTGTAATATGAGCCTGGTGTTTCAAAGGAAAGTTCTTACATTTGTGGCCCCTGGGCAGAAATTTAACCCATCTTTACTCCACATTTCTCCCTCCCAGACTTGGCTGGAATCCCAGACAGAGGGCGGGTTTTTGTTTTGTTTTTTAACCCCTCCTCTGCCTTTCTCTTGTGGCTAGTGCTGCTGTCCGGCTAGCCTCTCTGTCCTGGTGCAGGACCCTAGGAGGCTAGCTAGCTCTAGCTAGCTCTAGGCAATAGCGAGGTGAGGAGCAAGCGTGCCTTCCAACCTTTGAACTAATCCAGCCAGTGTCAATACCAGACAGCGAGTTTCCTGGATAGCGCCTGGCTCCGTTTACTTAGCCTAAGAGTGTGAATTAAAGCCCGGGTGTTAATGACTATAGGCACTCGAGTCCCTGAGCTTCAGTCACACAGTAGAGCTGGGATCCCAGGGCAGAGACTTGCAAGAGCTGCAAATGTGGTCAGTGGAAATGAACTCTCAATTGAGCTCCGCGGCACGTGACTTCCTATTTCTGTAAGGTACTTCCAAGGGACTTCCTCTGTAAAATCAGCCCGAGTCCCCGGAGATTTCATTCAGTGCCGCAGCTAAGTTTTTACTTCCAACTCGGGACAGAAGTTTTCCCTGAGACTTAGTGTCAGTTTCTTTTCTTCCTCTTCGCCCTGCCTCTGCCAGCTTGCAAGGATCTGGTGGCTCCTGTTCGCGATCGGAAGCTGAATACCCTGGTGCAGATCTCTGTAATCCACCCCTCGGAGCAGGGACTGACAAGATACTCCAGCACGGAAATTGTGGAGGTGAGCATGCTGTGCGCCTGCATTCCTCGCCTGCATTCCTCTCTGTGTGTGTGTCTCTCTCTCAATCTCTCTCTGGATTTGAGCAAGCAGCTGAAATCAGTTAGCTCATGGCCTGTAGCTATGCTGTGTTACTATCCCCTGTCATTTAGGAAAGCATTCTTGAGGTCATTCAGCATGCCCTGGTAACTTCCCAGAATAAACAAATGAGGGAGGAATTTGCATTTTTCATAAAAGATCTTATTTTTAGTGTTATATATGTAAATTTAAATGAAATGAAAGTACTCAGAGAAATTTTAAACCTGTTAATTTTTTTTTGCCCTTTTCATTTTTCCTGTATTCCTCAGTCTATCTGTGGAAACTATATTCTCAGCTGTTTGTGACTGTCTTTTGAAAGGACAATATTTTTCAAAGAAAGGTCCATAATGAGTTTTAAAAACTGTAATGTTTCCAGGCAAAAGGTGCAAATATTACTCATCAGATGAGAGACTTCCTATTTACATTTATTGTTACTAATATAACATTCAATATGTGTTGAGAGGAAACTTGTTATTGTGTTGGATCAGACTCAAACGAGGAAGTGTTTCCCTTTTGATTATTTTGTTCTTATCACACATATTTCACAACATTGGTGGATGTGAGAGAACTTACTTGAACATCTGGGACTAAAGAAAGTGCGTTTTGAACTCCTTCAGCTTTGCCTGCCTTTCTTGGACTAGTGAGCCCTGACTGTTTAGAATGAGTTTCTCTGTAAGAAGTGACCTCAGGCCCCGCTGGCTCAGTGCTGACCTGCAGTCTTGATGCAGTTGGTGGAATAAATGATTCAGACTGAACTCCTCTCCTTTCTCTAATGGCAATGACCCAGGGCCTGCACACAGCCCGGAGTCTGCCCTGTGGAAACTTTGGCTTCCTATATGCTGGTATAATTTGTGGTGAATACTGTAATTGAACAAACAAAATATAACCTATTCTTTTAAAGAAAACTGGACTGCAATTGTAAAATGGTTCATTTATATGAAAAAAATGTCAAGTATTACTTCAACTTCATTATTTTTAAAATATTGCCAAAATATGAAAGAAATTATTTATTTTGACATACTTCAAATTTTTATATTTGATTCTATAGTTGTTTGGGGCTGTTTTATTCACTTCCTGTTCTAAAGTGTCTGACACAGTGAGGAACAAAAGTAGTACTTACTGAATAAAGAGAAGAAAGAATGAATGAGTAAATGAATTACTTGGGCTTTCAGAAACTCTAGCAAACATCTCAATAATATTCAGCAATACAGGGTGAGGCGAAAAGTAGGTTTACAGTTGTGAGTACACAAAACATAGTTTATTTTTGTATTATTATTTATTTAATTATTGTATTACTTTCCATATTAGCAACTGTGAACCTATGTGTGCCCCACCTGATATAGATATTTAAATATAGATATAAAATTTAATGTTGGATATCAGCTCTCTAAATATAAGTTCTGAGACACTGAGATATCCTGAGCACTGTATCCTGAGCTAGAAATTTCATAGGTCAAATCCATCATATTTAGTTTCTGTCGTTAATTTTCTAGTCTGAGGAAAACACACCCAGCAGAACATCTAAAAACAAATGGGCATTATCAGGGCATGGCTTTCCATTGAATCATTTCAGAAAGGAAATAAATGGACAGCATACGCTTCCCAAATGGTTCTTCATGAGAAAATGGCTTCATCTTAATTTGATGAGTCAATATCTTAGCTTATATGCCTAAATTACAGGTTATATCCATTGAATGTATTCTAAATGGACTGAACAGTTGACCCCAAAGAAGGGTTCTGCATATAATGAAAATAACATTGGTTTTCAAACTATTAGCAGCTCTGACAAGGAGGCAAGGCCATTTACTATCAACAGCTATATTAGTTCTTTGGGGCCTTGGGCCATATTGTTGCCTCTGAGCATTATTTTGTAATTCAGATCTTTATAGCACTATTTCCTAGAAAAACAAACACCCAGACACACTTTCTGTATTCTCATGTGTCACTGCATGCTGCCCGCTGCAGTTGCTGCTTTGTTGAATTAAAGTTGTCTGCCTGTGCTGTTACAGGGAACAAGAGACCCACTGTTTTTGACGGGTGTCACTTTCCCATCTGAGTATCCCATCTATGAGGAGACCAAAATAAAACTCACAGTCTATGATGTCAAGGATAAGTCTCATGATACCGTAAGTACTTGTACTGCTTTCTTTCTTTGGGAAAGAGAGTTGTGTTTTTCCAAACTATTAGTTTTGTGTGTGTGTGTCTGTGTGTGTGTGTGTGTGTGTGTGTGTATGTAGTTTTCCTTTTTTAATGTAATTGGCATTTTTTCAAATATGGTGTTTGTATTGTGTTGATGCTTGTTTTATGTTTATAGTTTGCTAGGGTTTTTTTTCCCCTCCAAATTCATTTGGCTTAACACCAAATTGGCAATTGGGTAAGAGCAAAAGCTTCCAGAACAGATTTTTCTCTTTTTCAGGAAGGCTGGCTTGATCACTTGGTTTATAATTTTGTTGTTGTTGTTTTAAGAAGTTTCTGAAGGTATAACACTGTGGGTAGAATGCTAGTGGAAGAAATGAAATCATGGCTTAAAACTGTCTTGATATTGTAATTACTCTAAAACGGATTGACAAAGTGTTCTACTTTTGCAATTTATTCTTGTACATAATGTATAGAGAGACATTCTCTCTGTATTTCCTGAAGTTATTCCTGGCACCGAAGCAAACAGAGAAAGCAATGCAAGCACTAGACAGAAGCTTTAATTGTCCTCTTTCCATGAAAGTCATATAAAGTCCCAATGATTATTTTGTCCTAGATTTCGTCAGTTTTCCTACCTGGTCTGACCTTTCCTCCACTTGAACCAGACCTCCTGGGTAGACAGTGAAGTGCCCAGGCAAAATTTCTAGAGGCCTTTCTTAAAATTTCTGGACTGGGGAGAATGCTATTGGGTAGGCATTGATTGATAATGGGGAATTTAAAATATGAGCCTTTTCCTTTAAGTCTCTCCCTTTAGAATGCATTTCAGTCTGTTTTCAAGGCAGGGGTCTTGATGGTCAACAGTGAAGCACAAACCAGGAGACACTTTGAAAGCAGGTGGGCCAGTGGGTTCCATGGGATTCTGGATGAAGCCCAGGGGAAACTTAACTTTGAACTCTGCCTTCACTTGGGCATTTTAATTGCTCCTCTCTTTTCTTTCTACTCTTTACCATAAAATATATAGCATAGATTGATGGTGGGGTATTTAATAGAGAAAAAATTCTATATTGAAGCAATTTCTGCTTATCTTAGTCCCAGAAAAGTTCATTTCTTTAAAGTTGCAGCAAAAATGTTCAATTAAATGCACAGCATGTATGTGAAATAGAAATAGTTGTGGTGGTCTGGTATGTCTATTATGAAGGCTAACTGTCTGGCTCCTGTTATGTTTACCAGCTTTGTGACGCTGGGAGAGTTCATTCTCAGTGCCTCTGTTTCCTCATTTATAATATTTACCTCATGGGGTTGTTGTAAGTGTTAAATAAGTTCATATAGGTAAATTATTTAGAAGACTTACAGATTAATAAGTTTAAGTCGCTGCTTTTATCGCTGTTATTGTTCTGGCTGCTGCCTCAAAATCCCTCATAAATAGTAAAACTCAAATAAGGGAATATTATCTAAAATCTGTTTTTTATAGTAGTTTTTCTTAAGTGTCATTATATTATTTCTGACTTCCTTAAAGAAGAGGAGAAAGAGAAAATACTTTGCAACACAAAATTAGGGTTAAAACTGGCAATTAAAAATGTTTTGTTTGGCATTTTATTTTTTTCTTTCTATTTTTCTTGACTTTTGAGGCCATCTGTGGAAAAGGAATGGACTGATCTAGACCAGGTTTGATAGACTATGCACAAGGCCATGTGCAGATCGATGGCTGTCCCTTTTTTAATTTTTGCCTTCTGCCAGAGAACAGAGAAATGAAGGGACTGGGGGAAAATCATAAAGTTGGGAAGGGAGAGAGAGATGGTTCACATGGGTGGCAGGAGGAGGTGATATCACTGAGCAGAGGAGTAATAAGCAGAGAAATGATCAGGATGAGAGGGAAAGCAAAGCAGTAACCATGCTGTTTTATGTTCTTCCAAGCACATGATCAGATTCAACCTTCCCTACAGACCCTAGGCACAGACAGGATTGAGGCTATGGAAGGGACAAGGGTATAGAAATGCTATGCTACAGGAATGAAATGTTGCCCCTAAACTCTTGGGCTTGATAAGTTTTCAGAAATATCAGCTTTAGAAATATTAAACACCAAAAGTGTTTCTATCTCCTTCAATCTCCCTCATTTACAGTGTGCAGTATGTTACTGCTTTAGGGATAAATAATTAGCTTACTCATTAATTATGCTCTGAATTGCCTTCTATTTCTGGAAACTAATTCTTTAGGGTCTTTTAGAGACTTTCTTCCTTGATCAGAGGTATTATCACATAAGAGTAGTGGATGAACTGGAATCCCTGCTGGGAAATAAGACTTGTGAAACTTGAACATGCTTGAGAAGTGCAGCCAGCTTTCACTTACCAAGTGCTGTTAATTAAGGCATAGCCTCTTCCTTAAAATAACTAACAATTAGCTATGGTGATGGAAGTGTAAATAGGAACACAGTTCATGAATTTGCTAATAGTCCCCATGGACATAGACTTTTCATCCTGGCCTTTTTCTTTCATTTCTGAAGTTTTTCTTTGAGGTAGGAATGGGGTGGGGAAGGAGGAGGCAGGAAGTGTGTTTAAAGTACAGTTTATGATTATGAATACTTAATAACCTAAGTATTTTAAGATCATAATACTCTTAAGGCTTAAGAAGTGAGATTATGCATATTTATGTGTTTTGGGAAATTAATGAATTGTGTGCATGTATTTAAAAGTAGCTTTAATATTTGCTCCTAGTAACCATTGATCATATTAGGCTAACCCAGGACAATGAAGTCTATTTATTGGCTGAGTTCTAGTTAGTTGAGTCTGGTGATTAAGTTGCTTTTATTTCCCTCTTGAGTTTATGGTTATTTGGAGTTAAGCAGTCAAATAAATTTGTTACTTTGTCATTTCATATTCATTTACAGAAGTATTCATATATCTTCTTAAAGAAAAATGATAAGTTATCATCTGTGCCTTCAATACAGCCATTATCAAACTAGTTGTTGTTCTTGTACTCCTCTACACAACTGGACCTGAGATTGATTATTTTACTAAGGTTAGTAGAAATGCAATTAATCATTGTAACAAATGAGATGGGTCTAACTGTTGAATCAGAACGGCTATTGTTTCCTCCTACTCCATCTTTCAGCCTCCCCATTCATTGCAGTATGGGGAGGTGAAATACGGGGTATTCTCATAGGGTCATTATGAGAATTAGAGTGGCTTATTATTTTCCTCACCAGGAGGAAATTATCTGTTTTCTAAAAATGGGCTAATCAAACATCCAGCTGTTTGGTGGGGACTTGAACTTTAAAGCTTGACATTAGAGGCCAGTGATAGAATATGAGAGCCCCCGTTCTCATGATGAAGTCGATGCCTGCTGGATATATGCCGGTTGTATGCTCTATTTTAAAGCTCCTGGAAACTGAAAAAGCACAGGCAGGAGTGTTTTCAGCCCATCATTTACAGTGCTCAGCCCTAGGGACTCAAGTGGGTCTTTCATAAGTTACAGAAAAAAATCTCAGAGGAAGGAGAAGTTCTTAGAGGAAAAGAACATCACCATCAAAGTTTCTCTCTTTTCCCCTTCTTGCCATGCAGTGATATTTTGGAAGGTAGTGAGCAGGGCTGTTACAACACCCAGGTTAGCACAGCCATCGATCTGCAAAGCATGATTAGGTTACAGACTTGTTTTGCCTATGGTAGAAATTGGAATTTCTCATGCATTCTTCAGGAGTGCGCATTGCTCCATTTCTTTTGCTGTTGGGGTGAATCTATCTCCAACTTGTTAGATGTTCAGCTTATAGGACAGAGTTCCATGTCCAGTAGACACGGAACATTTCTCAGGGGAGGATATATGTCTTAAGACACTTCTTACTATCATTTACTAACATACCGCCCCGCAAATCTGGTCATTCGGAAAATGTGCACCCATCAAGATTGGATGTAAATTTATTGCATTGTGTGTTCTATGCCCAAAGAAATTCTAGTACAATTCTCTACACAGAAGTGTCCAGTTCACTTTTATGGAAAATAAAATCATTTACATTTAGTACACTTTGACTTGGCTTGATTTTCTACATTGACTTCTTACAACTTTAAGACTGCTGAAATGCAGATTCTGTGAGCTGGCTGGCCTTCTTCTCTACCTAGAATATATGATGCATTGGGTAAGGAAAATGAAGTTGAGATTACCGATTAATAGGTACATACAAAGGACTCTGTTTAATAGGTTATGTATACTTTCTTCTTTAGTCTCCATAACAATTCTTTGAGGGAAGTATCATGTTGATCTTTAAAGAGAAGAAATTGGGATTCTGAAAACTTCAGTAGGCAAGTCAAAGACCTTTATTTTTTCCAGGCTGTGCTGTGGTACATATATTGTTTATAGGATTTCCCCCATTTTCACCCCAACAGTATGGGATTTTCATTTCAACTGACACTTTTAAAGCATTCTTGATTTATAGCTTAAAAACTGATTAAATGAAAAAAGTCAGTGTTCAACTATAGGAAAAACACTCATGTCCAAAATTCTGAAGCACTGTTATTAGCATGTAACTAATCGCTGATATCTGAATAAATTTTATAATGAAGTGGACATCGACTGTTCATGAAAAATAGCTGTTGTCACCTGTTATGAAATGGCTAAGTTTAGGTCTTAAACTTTTGTTTTTGCGCCCCCTGACCTCGTTTCTTCCTTTTTTTTATGTGTACCTCGTGGTCCTCTCAACCTATTCATTCACTCAGCCTTTGCCTGTTGGAGTGCTCCTGTCCGTATGGTGACCCAGTCTGCAAGGGGAGTTACGATTTCATTTAGAAGTGGCTCAGGGTTCTAAAACGTTGCTGCCCTTCCTAAATAACTTCACTTTGATATTTACTGAGAGCATATTTATATTTTATTGAGGTATAATTTACATACGCTAAAACAGACAGCTCTTGGGCAAGGTCTAGAACATTGCCATCATTCCAGAAAGTTCCCTTGTAACTCTTCCCAGTCAATTGCCACCCCACACACCCAGGGGCAACCACTTTCT